AAACAAGCGGATTTGGACTTTGTATAATTTATCCTAATTATTTATCTTGTTTCAAAGTAGTGCCCGAACCCGGGCAACGGAACTGAACGATATCGTGCCACAGAATACGGCCTATTTTTCCATGAAGAGATTCTCATCATTAAAATAATTCATATAGTTTTGTTCCCCATATAATTTTTCTCAGTCTGGTCCCTGTTCATAAAGTATCGTAGTTTTTGGAAAACGCATATACACCCTGTAGTTTCCCTTCGTGAAATATAATTTTCCTTCTATTTATTCCAGGAACTAAGCTGCACTCATTGCATGGTCTTAACCCACAACAAACAAAATCATTCATGTGTATCTGTGGAGGAAGTCGCTCAGAAACAAAGAGAAATATTGGAATCAAGTTCCGCCACACTTGATGAGAAATTATCTGAAGGAAAGAAAGCATTAAACAACATCTCTGGCGTCATGAAATCTCTTGAAGAAAATACTTCAGCTACCAAAGAAAAAATCAAGCAACAAAAAGAAAATATCGCCAAGAGTGTGGTCGACAAACTGGATGAAAGAGCGAAAAAAATGTATGAGGAAGTTGATGAGATTCATGATGAATTACACACTGAACTGAGCCAGCAACATGACGAAATTAAGGAGTATATTGATAAAGTACAAGGTAATTTTAGTCGTAAAGAGGTAGATTCTTGGACACTAATGGTTTACTAAAAGATTTATTGATTATATCAGCAACGATTCAAAATACAGTAGTTTCATGGCGAGAAATTACGGACATGTTTTATTCTACTTCTTTACTAATTTGGCTATCACGTTGAAAATGGCCTCAATAGCAAACAGTAAATCATATTACGCGATGATGTGATCGCTGGTTGCAAAACAAAGTCTATCGAATTTTAGTTATTACATTTGTCTATATAACTCTATATGGGCTGTATACTGTATAAAAATACCACTGACACTACCGCGTGGGGCAAAAAAGCACGACAGTTTGATTTACTACGACTTAAAAAGTAAAAGATATATTACACTTAAATAAGTCACCGTATATTCCACGATGTTTAACTTAAATTTTGATATATGTACTGTCTTGTATCTTCTCATGCAATATGGACTGAGATAACTGTGATGCGATTTTTTCTTTGGGGCTATTTGAAACATAAAATCTAGACTGTGCCAGATGATCAGCAAGCACACAATTTGAGAGAGCTTCGTGAAGTGATTGTTGCAGTATGCCGCAACTTGGAACAGCAAATAATCCAAAATTCTTTCGATTGTATGATTTCACGGGCAAGACGTTGCATTCGTGCTGGGGGACATGCATTTGCTGATGAATAGACGATTGCTTTTGAACCATAAGCGTGATCGTACTGATTACAGGTATAGAGTATAATGCGTCTTAACACAAATTATTGTTGTATATATTAATATTTAATAAGCCATTTTTAGTTCCAAAAATGTTTACTCCTGTTAAAGTGCATATGACATGAAATTTCTTGTTTTCTTAAATGAAAGAACTCTTTAAGCTGTAGTGTAACTTATTTTTTAGTTTCATGATTTTATGGTTTGTCCCGAGATATTTCAATTTGCTTGATATGTAAATGAGTTTGAATATGTCCGCTAATTTATGACGTCACTTTGGTTGAAAGCTCAACTTACACAGGTTATATAAATCTATTAACTCTAAGAACTGTATATACCAGTTCACGTTTTTCTCTAGTGCTTCACCACATTTACCAGTGAGTGAAGTTTGAAATTATTATCTTGGATGATTGCAGTGATATTCAACCATTTTGAAGAGCTTGTAACCAAAGTGACGTCATAAATTAGCGGACATATTCATACTCATTTACATATCAAACAAACTGAAATATCTCGGGAACAAATCATAAAAACACTACAGCTTGAAGATTTCTTTCATTTAAGAAAATAGGAAATTTCATGTCATATGCACTTTAAATGCACGTATCTTTGTCAGTATGGCATCGAAAAATGTGCATGGCATATATCGAAATTTAAGTTGGATATCGCGTCATTGCTCTTTAAACTATTTAAGTTGGATATCGCGTCATTGCTCAGTAAACTGAAATAGCAAACGATTTTGATTTACATGATCGTATAATAACTGTGTTTTAGTTTTAACAGCTTTATTGAACGATGTTCAAACGGCAAGAGTGCGAACGGGACTCAAGACCCTTGCGAGGCACTCTCCCTCTTGAATTTTGTTTACATCTAATATCATTATTTATGTCAATATCATAAATTGGTAAACATATACCAGCTGATTAAATATCAAATTAGGACGGCTATTGCACCACATTCAAGTTATCATGCATATAATACAGATTTGTATAATCATGTTAAAAATTTGAAAGCTGAATCAAGATAAAACAAAATCTGACACGAGGAGCTGGTATATGTTTACATCAGAATTAACTATTTCTATGGCATGAACAGCTACGATACAAAGACCACGTACAGCACATGTCAACATCAAAACTACTACTTAATAAATTGAAGTATATTCTTGATAAGAAGGATTTAAACGTTGCCAAACTGCGAAGATCTCCAGGAGAAACAATCTTGCAAGTATGATTCCAGAGTGGAACAATATGGTTAAAGAACGATGACTGAAAAGTGCTACTTTTACATGACGGAACTTTAAGCACTAGAGAAGGATTATTACAATTACCGGTACGACTATGATTAACAAATGACACAAAATCGAAAACATCCAAATCATAAAAACCATGCAAAATTTTAAACAAATGTCAAATCCTTAATTTCCCTGTCAAACGCCAGTGGTAAAAGATTCAGAGCAAGCAATCTGTCCTTGTAGGTCATGTCACCTTTCTTCGATTGAAGGATCCATCTTGTTGCACGCCTTTGGACTTGCTCCAGATTTAATTTGTTATTATATTGGGAGGGAGACCAAACCTCTGTGGCATAGCATAATTGTGACTTGACGAGCGAAAGATACAGAGTGCGCCGGATACTGCGGTCTGTTAGCAAGGGGCATGTTCTTCTAAGCAAACCCAGCAACCTGTTCGCCTTGACTTTTATATTATTGATATGGGTTGTTCATGAAAGGTTACTGGTCACTGTGATTCCCAGATCAACTTCATCATTCACACGCTTCAATTCAGATGATCCCAGATAATATTCGAAAAGAAAAGGTGTTTTACGGCGGGAGAATGTCAATATTTTACATTTTGAGGGATTAAAGTTGATGTTGTTATCCTTACTCCAAACATCCGCACACGACAAAGCTTCTTGTAACTGAGAACAATCCTCTGGAGTTGAGATTTCTCTATATAATTTGGTATCATCAGCATACAGTCCTGTTGATGTAGATTCAGGAATGACATCAGGAAGATCGTTGATGAAGAGTAAGAAAAGCACTGGACCCAAGACGCTTCCCTGTGGAACGCCAGAAGTGACAGGGAGCCATGACGAAGCAGCAGCCTCTACAACAACACGCTGGGTATGGTTATGCAGGTAGTCAGAGAACCATCTGTAAAGGTTTCCTGCGATACCATAATCTTTCAGCTTTCTTAAGAGAATAACATGATCCACTGAGTCGCAGGCTATAGCGAAGTCAAGAAATAGAATGTCCGTCTGGGTATTCATATTTCAACGTGATATGATATTAAAGGATGTCCGCGATTCTGGTCATGCATCACAAAGTAACCAGCCTGAGCGTAATAATACAAATGGAACTTCCAGAAATCCCATTTTCTGGCGAATCGTGTGGTTACAACCCACAAAGACTATACAATGAACTTTCAAGATCCATGTTTGAGGATAAAGTCTCATTAACAAATCACATTTGTGTGAACAAAGAGATGCACATGCGCAGTCAAACGATGTTTGTGACCAAGCATGTACTGTAGTGATGCCCTCTAAATAGGTTTTGCACTGCGCAGGTATGCCAGTGCCAATTTCTAAGTGCAGTAAATGGCTTAATCCAAGTTTGCGTCGCAAAGAGGTTTTTATTTGGGCGCGCAAAAATGCAGGTGGGAGGAATTTTAAAGCTGATGAGAGGTGAAAAAATTGGTAGAGGAGATGCAATTTTGCCTGCCTTGCAGGAATATGAATCCACTATAAATTCGGGGGCAAAAGTGATTAATTAGATTGTGCATTGCGGCAACGATATTCGATACCTATGGCGTCATATCACCGCCAATATTCATGTATATCGTGCTTTCGACATTGAAGTTAAATAGGACATTCAGCACCTACGTGCTTTCGACATTGGAGATAAATCTGACATTGAACATGCAGAACATTCAACATATTTTCGACATTGAAGTTAAATAGGACATTCAACACCTACGTGCTTTCGACATTGAATATAAATCTGGCATTGAACATGCAAAACATTCAACATATTTTCGACATTGAAGTTAAATATGACATTGAACACCCATGTGTTTTTGACATTGAAGTTAAACCGGACATTGAACATGCCGCGAATTTAGGACCCATCACAACTTCAACGTTCAAAATATGTTGAAAAAATTTACCACATGTTGAATATTGGCGGAGTTGAACGATAGCGTCAAATCTCCGCCAATATTAATTAAGCTAACACAAGATAACCCCCCGGCCAAATTCATT